CTCTCTCTCTCTCTCTCTCTCTCTCTTCCCCCCCTCCCCCCCCTCCTCCCCCCCCCCCCCCTCTCTCTGTTATATTTTAATGGCAACTTTGAATAACATCATGGAAATAAAGATCTTCTTTTCCTCATATTCAGGTGCCCAAGGAGAAAGAGGAATTCCAGGAAGAAAAGGTGACCAAGGTAATAAAGGCCACATTTTCAAATACTCAGTTTTGAATTTAGAGCACTGACCCAGTTCAAATGTAACAACTTTGATTCATTAATAAGCTATGTATTAGCTATATGTATAAGCCTATATACTTCATGTCCCCCTTCCACGGGTGTCTTCCTGAGTAGGATATGAAGTCAGGAACGGTCACGTGGCTTAGTCCTGACCTAACAAAATGGCTTCCTAAGCTAAACTCATGATAGCCTGAGCTGCACCTTGGATTGTCACTGCAAGTTGCAAACATAATTAGGAAGTCAGATCTGATCTCTGTAATTCATTAAAATAATGCATATCTGTTTCATCACTGGTGTGCAGACAGTGTTGAATGAAATGGCCACCAAAATAGGTGGCCAATACATGATTTTTATTAAACTAGCAGATTCAAGGTTTGAGCTTGAATCATTCATGACAATTATATCATATAACAACTCCAATAAACCCACGTTTGGGGCATCTTTCAGGAGATAAAGGTGAAAAAGGAGACATTGGTTTAACAGGAATCAAAGGACCGCCAGGGACAAATGGTAAGCAAATAAAACTATAACCCCCATCTTCAGGCAGAGGGTGAGGGTGAGGTGGTGATATCACTGAAATTCTGGTTTTTAAACCAAGTGGGTTCCCCCCCCCCTTTTTTTTTTCCAGGGATAGGATTTCCTGGACCAAAAGGAGAACCTGGTAATTCCTCACCTGCAGTCTGAGCCTGTATGCTGTGAAGTCAAGAGGGGTGTTATCTGGTCCATATGAACCATTTAATTTCCTTTGGCTGCTCCTGGGCTTCCTCCTGAAGGACATCACACCAGGTCTTGGTGCTCAGGCCATGAACCCACCTCAAGCACTCAAGCACAGTGCTTCTTGCATCTTTGCTACTTTTTGCAGGAAGAGAATGCCTCGTGAGGAAGTCAAGAAAAATAACTGTGGTTTTATTAGACTACAAAGCAGGCAGTGGGGGAGGAATAAGCACTTTATTGGTCTTCTGGAGTGGAGAGAAGAGATTAATGAATTTTCATTGGAACCAGTTATTGCCTAATGTAGACTACTGTATACCAGTGTACGTAGAACTGTGCATTATAGCAAGTTCTCTATGTCTATGGCAGTGTTGTCCAAACTTGGCCACTTTAAGATGAGTGGACTTCAACTCCCAGAATTCCCCAGCCAGCAATTCTGGGAGTTGAAGTCCACTCATCTTAAAGTGGCCAAGTTTGGACAACACTGGTCTATGGAATGAGGTGAGTGGGCTAGAGGACCCATCATAGTAAAAGAATGAACTACATTCTGCTATTTGTTCCAAGCTCAAAGAAGGGTAGAGGGAGCCACTCCTCAGACCTTGGAATAATAAGGAAGGAAAATTCCTTTGTCTCTTTCCCCATGCTTTGGCCAAAGATTTTGATATTCTCCATTGATGAATTTGAACAGATCTCTGTTAAACATCATACATCACTTCTAAACCAAAATTCAAAATCTCTCTTAAATTTGGCCCATCTATGTTTTATCTCAGATCACAAAATTGAGGTGGTTTGAAATTCTTCTTCCCCCATACTATCTGAAATGTATTTCTAAAAAAAAATAATTCAGTAATGGCACATACTTCCAATCCCTCTGAAGACCGTGGCATTTTCAGCTTGCTGATGTTCATATAGTGTTGGGAGTGAGGACTAAACTCACACTATAAGTGAAGTCCAGGAATCATCTTCTCTTTTAAAAAAGGAAAAAAGGGAACATTTGATGATTTTCTTATCTTGCTACTCTTCTACCACAATCCCACTCTCCAGCTTTCTTTTCTGCAGTGTCCAAAATGCTTGCTTATGCATCTACATATCTTTACTGATATGCAGCAAGTCTATATGTACCTGTACATACTACAGTGATACCTCGGGATACGAACGCCTCTGCTTGCGAATTTTTCGGGTTACGACCGGCTCTGGCCCCAAAATTTTCCCTCGGTTTGCAAACTCCGCCTCGGGGTACGAGCCATTTTCCGCCCGTGCCACGTGGTCCTCGGCCATTTTCTGCCCGTGCCACGTGGTCCT